TTTTAAAAGGCATAAATACAATAATAATATTCGAATACATATATATATTTGTCTATTTCAGAAGCCTATTTGATATTTGACCTCAATGTGAATGAACAAACGTGTTTAATTTTATTTTCAATCTAGCCTCATCGTTTCTGTATTTCCGTCGACTGTACATATATACCTTTTTTGTTTTCAAAAACAAAAACCTGCTACACATAAAAATTTTCTTGTTCGGTTTAGAACTTAGAAGGCTATGCTCTATTCAATGGAACGCCAACGGAAATCGAGGCGCCGTATGCGCTTTGTGTTGCGCTTTTAACTATTTATAATTTATGTCACCTCTTCTTGTTTTTATCATTTCGATCCACAGCATCGTCGAAGATACCCTGTATTGAAAATCAAATAGGTAGCAAATAAAGGCACGATTCAGGACAGCCACTAAAAGAATATTCGGTGTACGCATTCAGTTTGATATGGGTTATCAAGTACACACGCAAACACATACCAGGCCCAGCATGTGTTCATTTTTAAAATTACGTATCTTCGTCTCTTTCTTCTGTCGCTTGCTAGACCCTGGTCGGTTGGACTAAAGAAAATATTGCCGTTAGAATCAGTTGCGTCCAACAAGTTGAAAGCAGCTCTTAGAACTGCACAGCGCATACAATAAAGGGTCAAATGGCGTCATAGAAATATGTATATATATAAAATACATGTGTGTGTGTAACGTACCTTCCCTCGCACTCGTTGTTGGGAGCTCGACATCCCCGCTGTTCGTGGTAAGAGAAGTGAGAATAAGAGAAATATACTATGGCTGAAAGATATGTGTTGTGTACTCAAGCGCTCAAACGGACTAAAAAGAGATTTGAGAAGTAGCGTAAAAGAAGAAAGCAAAGTAAAATATACTATACTGAGACGAGGATAGATCTTAAATACTTAATTGTTCGAATGCCAGGAGAATACAAAAAGATAAGACTCCAACATGACGTAAACTAAGGACATACCGAATTTCGAAATTTGATTCTTTGGAAAAAGGTGAAATATAGCTGAGACTGAGATGCGTGCTTTTTACTCAAATCGCTCCAATGTCAAATAGATTTCAAAAGAAATGACCGCAACGTGAAGTAAGACTGCGAACGTACCGTCTTTCAAACTCTGATCTACCGCAACGGAATCTGCAACGCTGATTTCTTGCCATAACAAGACAAACTTCTCGTCTATGGTTATCTCTTCGCTATGCTCTCGGTGGAATAAGACAAAATTCTTGGTGTAGTTGTTCTTTATCACTAGTATTTTGCCCTCTTTCTGCAGACGATCCACGTGCTTCTGCACTTCTGGATTAGAGTCCAATAGATCATTCAACGTGATTCCCCCACTCCCCTCTCTGTGTCTTTCCGTCAGCAGATCCTGCAGTTGCTCGGCGGTGCCACAGTTAAACTTCGGATTGAACGCAAATGCCCCATCTTTCCAAATAGTGCGTTCGTTATTCAACAGATTGTCGGTCAGTTCCGTATCATCATCGAACGTGTGGCCTAATACTTCACGTTCGAGTACATCCAATGGCACCTTTTCACCTTGATGTTGTCTAAGATAATCCACTACACTTCTCAACCGCTGCCCAATCTGTTTCTCTTTGAAGTTATTAGTTTTACTTGTATTAACCTTCTTGTTGCCAAACGGCCTATTTGGCGCAGTAACACCGTCTTTCAGCTGTTTCTTGCGTTCACGATCTCGCTCGATCTTCCCCTTCATATCCTGCGCCGCCAGCATTTTATTTCGGAAATCCATGGTGAATTAGAATATTGCCACTAAATTTTTTAACTTTATGTGTAAGTTTTGGATTGGTTGTACTTAGGTGTAAGTGTGATGTTTTCTAGGTGAGGGGACGCAAAGTGTTTGCTAACTCTACTACAGGACAAATACGCGAATGAGAAAGAGACGAAGTCCTTGTCACTTTATATTATCAAAAAATACATCGAAAATATACAGCAATGTAGGGTTTTTTGTAATCCAATTATAGGATTTTCCAAACTAAATATAGGGTTATTACTCAATGTTGGGTTTCTTTGAATTTGAAATATTATTTTAGGACACTATGTGTATTCAAAAGCATTCGAATAAATAAACGACTCTTGCAACACAATAAGCCCCGCATTACTCTACACTACGCCCATTCCTGTGATTGTAAATATATGTACCCGTGCTTGCCTGCATGTTTGTGGTATTTATAGCCCAAGCCGCCAAATATGAATATAGGTATATACACGTATGTATATATATATATATATATATATTTATATATATATGTGCGTGTGTGTGTGTGAGTGTGTGTGTGTGTGTGTGTGTGTGTGTGTGTGTGTGTGTGTGTG